CTCCAAGTTGGGTAAGTTGAAAGATACTCACATCTAAACACATCAGAATCAAACTCTCAAAAGCCCAAGAAAAATAGACAATCTTGAAAGTAGCAAGGGGCTGAGTAAGATTGACTGATGACTTCTCTTAAAGATCATGAATTCCAGAGGACAATGGAGTGGTATATTTAAAACAGTGCAACAAAGAGATTGTTGACCAGGAATTCTATATCTGGAAAAATTATCCTTCAGAAGTAAAGTTGTTCAGACAAAGATGCTCACAACTTGTTGCATCCTGTCCAACAAGAAATACTAAAGAGAGTCCTTCCAGTTGAGGTAACTCAGATGCACACAAATAAATAAAAAGCACTGGTAAGACTAATTATGTAGGTAAATAAAAAAAGACAGTATGAACATATTTTAAAGTTACTTTCTTCTCCTAACTGGTTTAAAGAAGACTATATAAGATAATAATTATAAGACTGTACTAATGGGCATATGACTTATTAAGGTATCATTTGTATGACAATCATCACCGAAAGGAGAAAGGATAGGAAAGGGAGTTGTATCTGAGCAGAGTTGTTATACAGGATTAGAACTGAACTAGTATGAATGCAAAATGGATTATGTTTAGTAAGATGCATGTAATCTCCAGAGAACCACTGGGGAAATAACTAAAAATATACAGAACCAAAACGAAACAGAAGATGAAAAAGATACTTCAATGATACACTTGAAAAATATTTCTATATGAAACCAAAGAAAGAGATAACGAAAGCCCTCAGGGACAATATAACCAAAAGTTCCAGAAGATGTGGAAAATAAATAGCATCATGGCAAGCATAAATCCTGCCATGTCAATAATTAAATTAAATGTAAATGGACTACTCCAATAAAAAGATAGAGGTTGTCAGGTTGGACTTAACAAAACACAAAAGGATCCACTACTTGTTTTCTGTAAAAGATATCCTTTAGATTTAAAGACATAGATAGGTTGAAAGTAAAAGTGTAGAAAACAACAATGAAAAGAGATCTGAAGTAGCATTACTAATGAATTATTCATTATTCAGCTTTTCATCATAACAAAATGCCTGACACAGGCCCCTCGTGAAGAAGAAGAGGTGTATTTTGCTAGAAAGTTTAGAGGCTGGCACTGGTATTGGTTGCTTCTGGTAAGGGCTCTCTTTCTTGGCCTCACCACGTCATGGCATGTGTGTTGGTGAGCTTACATCACCAAATGGGAAGTGGGAGGAAGACTGGTGCCCTTCTGAAGCACACCCTTGATGACAGTAAGGACCTCCTTACTGTAATGGTTCTACTTCCTAATACCACCATCCTGGAGACCAAGCCTCTGATCACATCAGACCCTTTGGTAACACAATTAAACCAAATCCAAACCACAATAACTAACACAGCAACTAATATCAGGTAAAATAAGCTTTAAGACTAACAGGTATTACTAGACAGAAAGATCGGTGGTAATATTCCCTTTATCATTTCATAATGATAAAAGTGTAAATTGGATAGGAAGATATAACAATTATAAGCATGTTGACACATACAACATAGACCCATAATACATAAAACAAAACAGATAATATTCAAGGGAGAAATAGATAATTCAAAAATAATAGCTAGAGAATTCAACACTTGATCTTAGCCAAAAGGCTGAGAAGCGATAATAGCTAGAGAATTCAATATCTACTCTTAACAAGGCTAGAACTAGATAGAAAATTACCAAGCACATAAAATGCTTGAACAAGACAACCAACCATTTCAACATAGAAGACGTCTATAGAACACTCTACAGAGTAGGGTGCATAATGAACAGTCTCTAGGATAGACTTCCTGCTAAGACATAAAACAAGCCTTCATAAATTAAAAATATTAATCCAATCATAATGGAATTAAACATGGAATCAACAGCAGAAATTAGGGAACTTCACAAATCATTTGGAAATTAACACATTTCTGTGTAACCTATAGGTTAAATAAGAAAGCAAGAGGAAAATTAAAATATTTTGAATACAAGTGAAACACAGCATACCAAGATTTATGAAAAGGAGTGCTTGGAAGAGACTTTATAGCTTTCTATGTCTTATTAGAAATAAGAAAGATTTCAATCAATAATCTAAGCTTTTCCCTTAAAAATATTGAAAAAGAAGAGAACATAGAACCTAAGGCAAGCAGAAGGAAGAAAATAATAAAGATAATAGCAGAAGGCAATGGAACAGAAAAATAAGAGAAAATCAATGAAAGCAAAAGTTAAATCTTTAAAAGGAAAAAAATGATCAGTCTTTAGTTCGATGGTTGTGAACCTATGGGATGTGTGCCACTGCAGGCACACTGAGCCCTCCCTGTCAGCATGTGAGCCAAGTCGCCCCAGCAGCCAGCCATCAGGTAACAGCTGGTTTTTTTAAATGAAAACTTCAGTATTCAGGTTTAATTGCAGTTTTGGCACTTGGCAATAAATAAGTGGGTTTTGGTTTAGGCACTTGGTCTCTAAAAGTTTCACCATCACTGAACTAGTTTGATCAAGTAAAGTTAGGAATGAAAGAGAGGGAATACCATTGACTCATTAGATATTAGTTGGGTTATAAAGGAATATTGTGAACTATTTGACAGCCTAGATAAAATGGAAAACTGACATAGAAAAATATTAATAGATCAATATCAAGCAAAGAAAATTAATTAATAATGAAAAATCTCCTTTAAAGAAAACCCCAGGCCCAGAGAGCTTCATGGTGAAATCTAGCAAACATTCCAAGGAGAAAAACAATGCCAAAATGCCACAAACTCTTCCAGAAAACAGAGGAAAAAGGACTACTTCTCAACTAATTCTTTGACTATAACCCTAATACCAAAATCAGACATATCACAAAAAAGAAACTATAGAGAAATATCACTTATGAATACAGAAGCAAAATCCACAACTAAATTTTAGCAACCTGAATCCACCAACATGGAAAAACACGGTACACCATCACCAAGTGGGATTTATTTAGGTAACAAGGTTTAACACCTGAAAATCAAGTATTGTAAAGTACCATATTAATAAAATATAGGACAAAAACTACATGATCATCTCAATAGATATAAGAAAAAAGCATTTAACAAAATCCAACACCCATTTGTGATATAAACTCTCAACAAACTTAGCACGGAGGGGTTTCTTAACCTGGTGAGGGAAGGTCAACCACCAGAACCCCTGGTGCACATCACACTCACTGGTGAAAGCTGTAGACCTTCCCTGTGAAATGAAGGCTCCACCTTCACCCCGGCAGTCAATGCCATTCTGAGGTTCTGGCCAGAGTAATGAGGTAAGAAAAAGAAATGGAAGGCATTCTGATGAGAAAGAAGTAAAATAGCCTTTTTTATTTACAGAAAATGTGATGCTATATGTAGAAAATCTTGTCTTCTGGAGAGAGAAAGAGAGAGAAGAAATCCACTATTGAAAGTAATAAGTACCAAGATGTGAGATCAGAGTACAAATTGCCTGTATTTCTATATATAATAAATAATCAAAATGAAATTGCGAAAAAATCACATTTACAATAAAAAGTTAAAAGGATATGATGCTTATGGATAATTTTGACTAAAGAAGTAAAGGACTTACATGCTGAGAGCCACACAACATTGTTGAGGGTAATTTCAGCCTGCGATAAACAGACACTACGTATTCATGGAGCAGACAATGCATGTTAAGGTGAATTTTTCTCTAGGTTATCTGTAGAATCAGTACAGTCTATCAAATCAAAGCAGGATTTTTTCCACTGAGATTGACAAAGTAATACTAAAATCTATGTGGAATTTCAGAGATGCAAAATGGCCCAAACAATTTTGAAATCAAAGAATACAATTGGAGGAGCCACGCTTCCTGATTTCAAAACTTGCAAAGTTGCTCAGAAGAGTGCGGCACTGGTATAAGGTGTGCAGAGCAAGGGGACCCTCGTGTTTAGGGTGCACTGACTTTGACAAAGGTGCCACACATGTAACAGTGTAGTGGGAAACGTTTTTAACAGATGGTGCTGGGACAGTCAGATATCCACATGCAAAAAAGCCCAAAACAAAACACCACCCCCACACACTAGCTCATAATTAACCCTGGACCTTAAATGTAAGAGCTAAAACACTGAAATGATAAAATCTTTTAGGGTATAATATATGAGAAAATCTTCAAGATCTTAAATTAGGCAAAGATTTCTTATATAAGATAGTAAAAACAGTCTATAAAATAAAATCTTGATAAATTGAATCTCATCAAAATTAAAAAATTTTTGTGCTTCAAAAGATACCATTAAGAAAATGAAAAGACACGCAATAGAGTGATGGTGGCAAACCTATGGCACATGTGCCACTGTGGGCTATTTGTGAAAGCTCTAAAAGGGTCACCATCACTGGACTAGAGGAATTCATTTGTGTAACAACTATCTGATGAAGGGCTTCAGTCTAGAATCAACAAAGAACACCTGCCACTCAGTAATAATAAGACAAATGGTAAGATCTGAGCAGACAGTTTTAAAAGAAAGCATACAGAGGGTTGGTAGGTTCAGTCTTGTGGTACCTGATACATTTCCATCAGTATTGACCATGTGTGTATGACAGTGGTTCCACAAGATTATGTCACCTGGTCACACTGGGAGCATTCCGTCTGTGTACTTGTAAGTGCAGTCCATGATTTTGGCACAGGGATGAAATCACCTGTACTGCATTTCTCAGGACACATCCCCTCATCAAGCAGCATGAAAAGACACTTGATATCGGTGGTCATTAGAGGATGCAAAGTGAGATACCAGGGTGACTGTAATAGAAAATTTTGGAGAGGACCTGGAGAAATTGGACATGCTATTGGCGCATGGGTAAGATGGTACCACCACTTTAGCAATTTCTTAAAAGTTCAAATAAGTTTACCATATGACCTATCAGTTTTACTCCTAGGTATCTATCCAAGAGAACTCCACACAGTTCACATACAGTTGTCCTTCACAGCATTCTTTATAATAGTTAAGCATTTGAAATACCTGCACTGTCCAGCAGCTGGTGAGCAGGCAGAGGAAATATGGTACACCCATGTGATGGAACAGGATTGCCCACTGAAAGCATGGGGTCCTCGGTCATGCTGGACCCAGATGGACCTGGAAAGAATCAAGTTGAGTGAAGAAAAGCAGACACAGAAGACCAGTATTCCATGATCATTCATAAACAGTGCTGGGGAGGGGGTGGCAGACAGGGATTAATCCTAAGTGGGCATGAGGCACCTTCTAGGAGTGATGGAAGTGTTCTGAACTAGATTTATATGATGGTTATACAACTTTGAAAATTACCTGAAAAAACAATCACTGACTGTACCCTTGAAACAGGTGAATTACATGAAATGTGAAATATGTCTCTGTAATGTTATACATATAGAGGGCATGTGGAGTGGATCACAGCACAGTGTGTATGTGTGGGTTTTTTCTTACATTTCTAGAAGTGGGCTTTTAGTATTTTGTTTATGAAAAATGGGGACTCTATAAAAAGAGGCAGCAGAGTGTGAGTGTAGTAGCTCACACCTCTAATCCCATTACTCTGGGGCTGAGACAGGAAGATTACAAGTTTGAGCCCAGCCTGGGCAACTTAGTGCAGTACTTATTAAGATCTTGTCTCAAAATTTAAAAACAAAAAATTTAAAGGCCTGGGGATGTAGCTCAGTGTGAAGGCCCTGGGTTGAGTCTCCAGCACCCCCAAAGACACAAAGAGAGAGCCACTTATGTTTGTACTGTGTCATAGTGTAAGACTTGTCCTCCTTCTCAACCACAGCCCAAGGTAGAATCATGGTTTAGAGGAAACAGGCCCTGTTTGGGGTGGGTGTTCTATAAATAGCAAAGCCTGTGGCCAGAGACAGTGGCTTCTGGTATTCCTTGCAGAGCTCTATGACCATGGGGTCTCATCACCGGGGTCTTTTTCTGGTCCTCTCTTTCAGGCATCTCCACTAGTGGGATGGGAGCCAGCCAGTGGAGCAGGGCAACTCGCTCCAATGTGTGGCTCCATGGCCTCGCTCCTGCCTACACGGGCTTGCCTGCCTCTCACTCAGCATATGGACCTTTCTTCCACAGAAGTGACCATTGAATCTAGTTTTGTGATAAACTCAGGTAGTCTTTTAAAACATTCATGGCTAGAAGAGAAACACAGCTTTAGAGCCCAAAGCTTGAGTAGATCAATGGCCATGCACAACTGTGAACTTCAGAGAGTGTTAGGAAAAATCTAATTATTTTCATAGCATGAGAACCCAATGTTGATGGCAGAATTTCTCCTAGGGAATAATATGTTTGCTTCCCACTCGCTGGCCACTTAGCTAAATTACGGATTATCTTTAGGAACACAGACAGCATATGACTTCCTCAGAGCAGGATTCTCAGAGCCCACCACCATCTGCATGACTACGGCCCACGTGCTTCCTGACACAGACATGACATCCCCGTGAGCTTAGAGCAGCTTGGCTGCATGGAGTTTTCAGAATCCCTATACTCTTTTCAGTTTTAACTTTGAAGCAGGGCTCTTTCCTTCATTCAGATTATAGCACAGCAAAGTCCAAAGAAAGGGTACCCTGCATCTGCCTGCCCAGCCCCCACAACCTGACTGACACCCAATAGGTACACAGGACAATAGGCCTGCAGCCAGACCCCGCTGGGGTTATCACTCCCAGTACCCTGCGGCTTTGTTCCCAAGCTCCAGACAGTGGAGGATGCTGTCATCAGAGCACCCTTGAGAAGAGGGGTGTTATCAGCAGGCACGCACTGATTCCCACCCCCTGAGTGAAGCCTTCTCCAGACACAGCCTATCGGGCCTCCCAGCTGCTGCTGTTCTAGATATGGCAGGAAGTCGCCTGGAAACAGCAGGCGCTCACGGCCTCAGTAGCCTAGTATTTCCCAGGCTCTGGCTCCACTCCGAGCAAGTTACAGCAGAGGAGAAAAGTGCAGCCGACGTGTCTGGCGTGCAGATGGGGAGGGCTGAGCAACACTGGGCGGGGATGGAGTTGTTCTCTGCACTGCTGAGCAAATCGTCAGGGCATGAGGAGGCCTCACTTTGCCTCCCACTAACAGTGTGGGCTGGCACAGCCTATGTGGGGCTCCAGCCCTCCTGAGAATCCTTGCCTTCAAAACACTGGATTTTAATGTCCACTTCACTTGTTTGTGCACATAAAGTGGATGAGTTTTGCAGTTAGTTCCCTGGGTCTCCACAAATGACTTTAGCAGGGCTTGGAAGTTCACCCCAGCTAAAGCTCTGAAGATCCAGGGCTGCAGCTAAGACGGAGCAGCTCTGCAAGCAGAGTTGCCACTGAAGGTCAGAGAGGGAGGAGCCCTTCACCCTGCAGACACAGGCCTTGCCAGGGGACACCAGGCAGGCTGCACCCTCCCTCGGGGACAGGGAAGAAGTAAAATATTTTCACCATTAGCAACATAGTTAGCATCTGCAAGTGTTTTAGTTCTAGAAATTACATTTCAGGACATTTCCTTTCAATTACAGTCCCCAGATGAGATTGGTTAGGGAGACAGAGGAACCCCAGTCACGTGGCCCTTCGGCATCTGCCATGAGTGCTGTTTGCTGCCCTTGGCCAAGCTCCCTGCTTTCACAACATCAAACTTAGAATCTCCTGTATATCCCCTCTCCTTTTTTTCCACAGTAGCTGTTGCCAGCAAGCTGTAAACTACCGTATATCACTCTGATTTAAGAACCTAAACTTTAAAACAAATTAAACTCTTGTTGACATTGTAATAAAAAATCAGAATGGAACTGAACAGCTCAGGAAAAGTGAACTTCAATTATTTTTGTGGATTTCACATTGTTTCCTGGGCTTCCCAGACTCCCAGTACAGCAAAGTTATTTCCTCTTGGCAGATGGCTAGACAGAAAGAAGGTAGAGGAATGGATGGAGTGAGGTGGCAGACACTGGCGGGTCTACAGAGGAAGCCAGGCTCCGTCCCCTGGAACATTTGCTCTGGCTTGACTGGCAGCATCGGCAGCCACGCTGGAAAAGCAGTGTGTGTTTGGGAAGGGTGGGGCATCGTGTACATTTTTTTTTAATGCATTTTAATATAAGAAAGGAGCTCAAAAATTGTCACAACTCATCTGCTAATTAGGTGCTTACGCTGGATTAAAAAAACGTTAGAAGCAGTTGTCTTTCCTTTGCAAACGTGTTCAGGCCCTGGCAAAGACGTGTGGTGGTCCTTTTCTCTTTCCTCCCCTCTTGTACCCGTTTCTCTCTCCAGCTCTTTCTCTCTCATTTCCACCTTATCTTTCATCACCATATTAACTGGAATGTTTGGGTTTTTTGTGTTTTTTTTTGTAATTCTTCCTTTGCTGAGATGGAAACGGCAGTTTCCACTGGACTAAACACCAGCTTTCCATCTGTGGTAAAATCCTGTCAAGGTAATGTAGAGCTCGAGTACTGACCAGCAGCCTGTGGATGGAAAAAAATCAGGCAATTGATGAATTTAAGGGCATTTCTCAGGAGGTGTGGCAGGCTTGCTTGGAGGTGGGATTTACCTGGGCTCCAAGCCAGGTGCCATAACCTCCACGTGATGCTCCTGTGGTCACTCCCCAACCGGGCCACTTCCTGTCCCCTCCTTCTACTTCCTGTTTCTCTACTTTTAAGGCCTGGCTGGCAGCAGGGTTCATGACCTGTGGTTCATAAAGTGCTGATGTCCACCAGGTGCTGTCTGTGAACTCAGCTCTCTGCTACCACCAGGGTAGGCCTGGGTGTTGAGACCTGACACTGCTGCCTCTCTTGCCCCCACAGGCATCAGATTCACTGAGTCCCAGCCAGGTACAGGGAGGGTGGAACCTCTGCTCACTAGCTAAGGACCCCATGCTGGTGGGCAGGCTGCACGGTGATGAACAGCCCCCCTGATGGCTGAGCACTCAGTGGGGATTAAGCGGAAGACAGGTCTGCCCTGGGGCAAGTTTTCACTCTGGTCAACAGCTGCTTCCACGAAGAGTCATCCTCTCACTCCCTACTCCCTGCTGGGTCTGTGCAGGCAGCAGAGGGTCATTTAAGCAGTTTCGATTCCTTTAATTATGTCATTGATCTCCATTTGATCATGACTTGACGAATTCCAGGTGTTCTGACAAATGTGTAACAGTAGTCCTGCATGCCTTCTAACTCTGCACCAGGCAGTCGTCTGGTAGCCTAGGCAGGAGAGCAAAGGGAGCTAATCCATGAGGGCCCTGCACCTTGACCCCGTCTCCCGAAAATTATCTGAGAGTCCCCACCTCCTCGTCCAGGGATCTGCACCAGCCCCATCAGAGAAAAGCCCAGGTTAGGATATGACGCATGAGAAACTCGTGAAACTCAGATGCCGGCTTGGTTTCAGGCAAATCATCCACCGTTCACTACAAAGCCTTGTGGATGCTTAGGCTGAATCCATATTTACTGTGAACAAATACCTCTGGATAGATTGTTCACCACACTTCAGTCTTTCTTCTGAAGACATGTTGTGTTTTTTGGTTTTGCAATATTAGGGTTTGAACCCAGGCCATTGCTCATGCTAGGCAAGTACTCTACCATTGAGCTACATCATGAAGACATGGTATAAACCTTTTTCAGAAATCAGATTGAGGTAACTAGAGAAGGAGTTAATGCTTGTTTTTCCAAAAAGAGCCCTTAACCCTCCAAGAGGAAGGAATTTCACAGTCACAAGACCATATGCAAATTACCAATGGTGAGCTCACCAGAGCCAGCAATGAGAGTGGAGACTCTGCACATGGATGAGTTGGTCCTTGTTTTGTGTCTAGATCCTGAAACTCCAGACAATTTACAGCTGACCCAATTCCACCCCTGCACAATGTAGTTGTGTTGAGTACCACACTGTGCCACCACAAGTGTGCGATTTTCAAATGTCCACTAATAAAACAAAAACCACCTAATACTTCCATGTTACTGTGTCCTAGGCACTATAGGGCTAGAAAACCATCAACTGCCTCACCCTTAAGAATACTAGCGTGGATTTGGGGAGAATAAACTAGGAGAGATTAAACAACCAAAATTTAAGTAACAATTTCAGGTGTCAGGGAGTAAGGCACTGCTCTCGTCCTGTCCCTGATGCCATGGAGGATGAGATTCTAGGCTTTTGCTCTACAGTTAAAGGGCTGGGGGTCTCTGCAGAAAGGACGAGTCAGGTGAACGGGCACAGAACTCTTTGGAAGGCCACCTACCTCCACCTTCTGCCAGTGCCCTTTCACACAGCAGAAGCTTGGAGGTACAGCTGTATAGTCTGGGAGGGGTCTGGGCTGAGTGGGAGAACTCCCTCCAGCAAACAGTTTGTGAGCGTGTCCAGTGGTGTCCTGGGGAGCGAGAACTGCCCCACCATGGCCCCTGGCTTGTGCCTGGCATCCTTCATATGGTCCCTTGCCTGTCCCATCTGTGCTCCAAAGAAGTCTGCACCACACTGGGCTGGAAGTGGTCCGTAGGAGCCAAGGTCCAGTCCTTCAGCAAGGCCTGGTGCTAGGAGTCCCCAGGGGTGTACATTGTTACACAAAGTCAATTAGAGTGCGTGCGTGCCGGCCCTGTTGATTTGATTTAGGACTAAGGAAAGCTCCAGTAATGTGCAATTACAAGGAACTTAATGGCCCTTTATACTGAATGCAACTTCCATGGCACCTAATATACTTTGATGAATTACTCATTATGTGCAGTGTTGGAATAGCCTCCATAAAGATTAATAATTGGATAATCAATACAAAAATTCAATCTTGGGATTTTTCCACTCCAGGGTCAATATATGCTCCAGATCTTGGGCCATCTCATTGGCCTGCATGTTTCTGATTTTTTTCCTCTGTCTCCTTCCTCTTTTTTTTCCAAGTTAGGAATCTCTGATAGGAACTTTCCCACTTGGATACTGAGCACATATTTCCTCATGCTTTCTGAGTCCTTCTATGCAGATCTGTTCAGAATAAAGAAAACAATAGTTTTGTCGACTCCACAGGTATCAGTGGCTGGGCAAGTTTGCTCTAAAGGTGGCCTCGGTCCAGGGGCTGAGGGGAACACACAAGATCATTGAAGAGTTGTGGCAAGAGCTGTGCCAACACCTGGTGCCACCAGCACAGTGGATCGGCAGGTGGCCTTTCATAAGATAACTGTGAGGGCAGAGGGTGGGCTTGGGCATCCCAGCAGAGGACCTTGGGGAGGCTGCACGGGAAGAAGCACAGGAGAAGTGTCTCCTGCCCAGGCAGGGAGAAGTGGCGCGCAGAGGTGGCAGGGCCTCTGGGAAGGCAGGAGCACTTCCCTTAGAGCTCCGTCCTGGAAATCCTGCCTTTGGCCACAGGTTGTGAGAATGCATTGGTGGCAGTCCAGGGTCACAGCAGGGAGAAGCTGGTGAATTGCTGTTGAGCTGGTGTCCAATCAAGTAGCATGGACTTGGTGCCCACCCTGGAGCCATAGTGAGGCAGCAAGGTCCCAGATGACTAGGGAGGAGGAAGAGAAGCTCAGTCAAGGAGAGGCAGGCTGAGAGGTGTCCACAGCTGTCCCTGAGTCCATAGGGTGTTGGTGGAAGGAACACAAGGAGCTGGGGTGGCCAGGCCTCCTACAGGACGGGGCCTCCTTGGGCAAGGCTGTAGTGCCACAGCTCGGCTGCAAGAGGAGGAAGACCTTGGTGTTGGGGAAGAGAAGAGCAAAGGCGTGGTGCCCATGAGGGTGGGTGGGAAGATAGGAAGATGGCCCCAAGGTGCCCCAGCAACCATTTGGACTTTCTGCTGAGACTGAACCAAAGGCTTTGCTCCGGAAGATTGAAAATTGAAAATATACAAGATCCTTAGGTCCACTTGCCCCTGGCACCTCTCTACCACCTGAAAATTAGGCTAGTTTTCAGTTAGTTTGTAAAAACTCACATCTCTACGTGTTTCTCCCTTACTCTGTACTTCAGTATTATATTAGATTTTCCAGTAGAGCCTACCATGGAGGAAAAGGACTGGTAGGAGCCTGTGGCCATGCACAAGGATCCACAGCTGCCTTCACTGGAGGTTTTCCTTGTGCTTTTGGTTTGTGCTGCCTTTGACTTACCCACCAGCGGAGAAGCTCTCAGAATACTGGGGTCCTGCCCTGTGCTCCTCATGCCCAAGCTGTTGCAGAGCCCATGGACAGGGGTGAGTTGCCCTTTGTCCTCACATTCTGAGTTGCTGTAGTGGGTGTCATAGACCCTGAGCAGGGGGAGGAGCTGACCTCACCTCATGTCAGAGGGTCATGCCTGCCGTACACAGCAGCATGGACTTACACAGCCACTGACTCCACTAAATAAGCTTTGTGCCAAGCCTCTCAGTTCATAGCCTCACAGGAATTTAACCTAAAGGGCGTGGAGTTCATTAACAGTATTTTAATATAGTACTGTAAAAATCACATCACTTGCAACACTGACAATATAGACAAAGATCTCCAGGAGAATTAGTATAACACCTTTCTTAATACCTAAAAAATCCCTGGGCAGCTGTGTCTACTCTCATCAGCGTGGAGCAACTGCATTCAGCTGACCTGTACCCAGCAGGTGATCTCAGGGGACTGTTTCAAATGACAGTGATTCAGGACCAGGGTGGCACTGCCAGTGCCTCAGCCCTTCAGCCAGAATTTCATTCCAGCTCATGCATTCATTTTTTAAAAACCAAGTACAAAATTTCTTCCTCAAGATTTGAATGCTATTTTAAGAGAATCTGAAGGTGAAGAAAGCACGCCCCCCCCCGCCCCCCCGCGTTGGGGTATGGACATAATCTGCAGTGGTGAAGCACCAGAGATAAATTCCATGGCAGATTTCACCTGAGATGCTAAAGCTGCTCCTTCCCCTTTTTCTCCTGCTCTCCTCCATCCAGCCCAGGGCTTCTCAGACTAGGATGTGGCTGTGGATCGGCTGGGAGGATGTCAAGGCATTCTGACTCCGTAGGTCTAGTTGGGATCCCAGAGTCTGTGCCCGCTCTAAGCTCCAGGTGATGCACAGTGTAGTCTTTGGGCCACAGGAGGCACAGGGAGACATAAGAATCTGGTAAAGCCGAGTATACCAAGCCTCAGGGTGTGCCTAGGTCTAGGATGCTTGTAGGTGTGGCATGGAGCATCTTTTTCCCTACATAGGGACCAGGGCTTAGTCTCAACAGGGAGCTAATGTGGTGCTCCAGAGCTGGCCAGCTTCTTCCTCCCTGGCTCAGGTGCTTTCTCTGAAGATGGGGCCTTGAATGTGCATGTTTCTGCCATGCACTGGAGCCAGGGGAGTGTGGGTTCCCTCACACCCACCACTAAGGATGACGAAGCACGATCACACCCACTTCACTTACCCCTGCTCCGGGGTTATTGTTAAGATGTTTAAAAACTAAATACCTGTACATCTTTTTCTAAGTGGCTATTTTGTTACATGAGTACAATGCAATGATTGCATCTGACAGAATTGCTGGTAATTCTTGGGTAAGGTGAGGATTTAGTTCAAAGACACACGAAGCAGGTTAAACTTCCTGTAAGCACAGGAGCAGGTGGCCTTCAGCTGTGTCCTTTGCCTGTTTAATGATCGGCGTATTCTAACTGAAGCCCAGCACAGCATCTGCATCTGATGGGGGTGGGGGGTTCAGCAGGTGCCTCCCTGCCTGGACCTGAGTGGGAGTGAGACCCTTGAAGTCTGGCTTCTGTATCGTGATACTGAACGTTTGACCCTCTCTCTCGTTACTCCTCACATCAAACAGCAGTATTTAAACTTGACCTTCTCATTTACTAAATTCTAAGGTGGGAGACTGGCCTTGTTCTTGTCGTTTCCGTCAGGAACTTCAATCTCATGCTGAAGCAGCCAGAGAAGGAATTCTGTGTCTCCATAGAAAAGTGACAGGAGGAAGAAAAACTTAAAACCCGCACTGGGCACTGTTCCTTGGGTCCAGTGATCATCATTTAAAAGGGCTTTTAGATTTTTTTGTCAATTCTGTTAATTCTGTTTGAATGGTAATTTCTTAACTTGGGGAAATATATTTTCTAGTAGTGCAAAAAAGTACTGAAAAATGCCTGTTGGTGGTTTAATGACCCTGGTGAGTAATTGGTGAATGAGAGTTTGGCAGAGATAAAATAGTAGCCAGATAATATGGGCACATTCTCCAGCCTGCATCAGATGGGAGACTGGAAGGACAGTCCTGCTCGAACCCCCCGGCCACGTGGCCAGCCCTGCACCCTGCCTCCTTGGAGTCTCCACCGAGCTTGCATGCTCCAGAGTTTTTAAGCTAAATAGGGAAGCAGGCACTTAAGGTAGGAAGATCATTCTGTCCTCACGGCTGACTGACGGTCCCGCCTAACAGCAGAGCGCGTGGGCGCCAGCCCCGCTCCAGATGAGGGTCATGTTTTATTAAAACTGTGACTTGTTGTCACTCAGTCCCTTCGCTGCCCCATTCTCCTCTGCCAAAAATAGCAGCCCCCGTGGCGGTGGCCGATTACGATTAAAAGATAAAAATAAATGAAGGCTGAGACAGGCCCGGGACACAGGGTTAAGACAAGAGCTTACTTTCTAATGAAAGCCAAGAACCTGTGCTATTTCCACTGCTTCCCAGCGCATCTCTGAAAATAAGACTTTGGGGGGCACTGCAGCTCTGCCTTTTCAGAGCTACACTGGTCACAGTGCACTCAAGGCAAGGTCCCTGCACCCCTAGCCCCGATTCTCTGACATGTTGCTGTGCTCCTGGAGGTGCTAGGGCAGCTGTCAAGTGGACAGCATGGTCACGCAGGCTGCCAGATGGAAGACTGGTAGCAAATCAAAACGTTTACTTGTGAAGGAGGAGATATTTACGGTAGACTTTCTAAGAGGTTGTCTCTTCTCAAGAAATTGAAAACCCACATGAGAGGTAGCTCTGCAGTTTTCTTGGTGCATACAGCTAAGCTGCCTCTTGTCCTGAACCATGTACACTTACAGTGGAACAAAAGCAGTTTCTTCTCTCATTCCCATTTTCTGATCTCTAAGTTTTGGCTTTACTTACAATGTTTTTATGTCTTTAACTCATACCTACCTTATAGTACCTTAAATAAGAACCAAGTAAGTCTCAATGTGTATAGCAAATGGAAAAATTGAAAACTGTATATTCAGCAACTCATTGAAACCATAAAAGAGCGGGTGAATACATCTATCATGCCCCTTTGTAATGAAAGTTACAGCAATGAAAATCTGTATGTTCATTGGGACTTTAAACCACCATCAAATGGCTTCCTGTTCCAAGAGTTATTAAATATTATACAAGTTTAGTACAACAAACATAATTTGGATACTTCTTAAAAGTTGGTCATTTAAGAATAGGATTCAGCTTGAGATATTTCTGCTTCTGCCTGTGTCTACCTAAGTCATTATCCTCTTAGGTTACACTCCTAACTTTAGCTAAAGGTGTATTTTCTCGGAAGGTTAGCAAATGCTTTTTGTAATTATCTTTTAGTTATAGGAATGGGAAAGAATGTCCTTCCTGTTTTGTTTTGCTCTCCAAAAAGTTATTTTGGTTTCTCTTAAAAATAAAAATGTTCTTGATGACTTGAGGTCTGTGAAAAATAGCATTTTTCTGTCCCTCAGAGGAAAGTGAAATAAGCAAGAACCAGTTGCTTTGTGCTGTGGACTTATTTTTGTACAGCATTGACTGCAGTGATGAGCTTGGCAGGGAGAATCTGTGTGTGTGCAGTGCACAGGCATTGCTGTGGGAAGGCAGCATACACATTCTGTGTGGAGGGAGCCCTGGAGGGCGCATTCAGGTCTGCTTCTGAGAGGGGACAAGGACAGCTCCAAGGAAAGTTCTCCTACAACCAGAAACAAAAACATGACTGTATCTACTGGGGCAGCCAGTTTGCTAAGACCAGCAGGTAAACGCTGTTGGTTTCTGAGATTCATGGCATTACTTTCCTTTATTGGAGCCGGCAGCATGACAGCTGAAGGAGGAAGATACTTTCCAGTGTGTTAATGTAATTAAGCTAACACAACCTGTATCAACAGGAATGTTTTTAAAAATCGACTCAACAGTATCTTTTTTTGGCGAAGTATGGTCCAGTTAAACTTTTTAAATACAAGGATTAAACACTGTATCTGGGTTGACATTGCTGAGCCAGGTTCTCATTCTTTAGCCCTAAATTCAGTTTCTAAGAGAGTAGGACTGAGGCAGGTCTGGATACCATTGAGAAAATGCTGGCCTTGCCTCTCCTGGTTTCACATTCCCCAGGCCTGCGGGGTATTAACCAGCCTCAGACTTGTGCAGATCATACCCTGTTCTCCAACGGGTCCCACCAAGGAAACACAACGGACAGGACCACACTGGTGCGTGGGCAGCAAGGCAGTGGCAGCTCAGTTTTGTCAAACTCTCTTTTTCCATTGTTTTGCCCATCAGCTCTCAAGGCCTTGTCTGATTTGAGGAAAAGACAAAGCTAATATTTGCATTTACCTAAAAAGCCCTACGCAGATGCAGATATTTGTTCTGATAACAAAAGGTTTACATATGCATGGCGGGAAATCTGGAGACTAAAGCACGGCCGCACAAAGAGGCCCTCCTACAAAGTCACCCCGGCACCATTTTGAGCCCTGTGCATGGGCGTTGGGTGTGCGGTTCAGCACTGCTTTGCATTCGCTTTAGACCCTGTGACTTCCACTCAGCTGCTTGGGCTCACTTTTCTCTTTCCGACAACCAGTAAACCGAAAGTTCCCCAGAAAGTGCGAGTGCACTCGTGAGTCTTTCCTGAAGCAGAGTGATCAGAGCACCTGAGGACTTGGCCTGATGGAGTATTTGAAGCACGTTGTTCTGTCTTAGAGACCTGGGAGAGGCTCAGGGCCCCTCTCTGAGCTCGCTCATCCGAGCCCTCCCGTAGCAGGGCCACCACCCCGGCCCTTCCCCCGCGGTGTGAGGTCTGGCTGACCTCATTCTGCCTCCAAAATAAGATCCAGGTAGCATCTACCTACTAAGGGCTGCACGGGACAAGCCCCCCCGTGTCAGTCATCTTGCACACAGCGGGGTCCCAGGGAGTGTCAGGTGAGCTTGCAGGAGGCTGGCCCTGTACCCACAGTGGTGGCAGTGGTCTTCACCCCTGACTTGGGACTCCGGCACAGGAGGAGGCTGTTTCTCCTCCACCGAAGAGTCCGCAGTGCATGGGGCAGAAAAGGATCTTGCCAAACCTCTTCACAGTTGGGGTCCAGGGCACCAGTTGGGAAAGGGAACATACCCAGAGTCCTGCAGGACTCAGGACACAGTGGAAAGACTTGGTACTCCCACCCACTGTCAAAGCTGGACCAGGAGGCCAAGCCAAGGGGTAGGAGTGGGGATTAAGAAAGGCCTCCGAGCCTCCTCCACCAGGAGTTCGCTCCCGAGTCTCAGCAGTGATTTGAATGGCACAGCAGGAAAGTAAGGAGAATTCTGGCCTGAGA